AGATTATGTCGATAAAAGAAATTATTTTCACAAAAGATGACATTACGAGAAATGTGAATTCGCTTTTTAAATGGATCATAACACACAAAACCTTTTTTCCCTAATGCATATCCTAAGAAAACACATTTAATAAACCGAGCATAAAATTTATTCCTCTCATGAGGAGGTAGATGAACATAACATTCACAACTAAAAGTATGCAGTAATTTATAGTCCGGATGTCTTTTGAACAATTTAAAATATGGAGAATCATAGCCTTATGTGAAAGAAGTTCGATGGTTAATAAAGTAAATAGTAGTACAAATAGTTTCAACCCGAAATCGAGTTGGAACCGAAGAATCAAGAAATAAAATACAAACAACCTCTAAAATATGATGATTTTTCCTTTCAACAACCTCGTTCCGTTTCGGTATATAAGGACAAGACTTTTCATGGACAATACGTTTTGAGCGAAGGAAATTTTGAAAATCAATAGACATGTACTCTCCTCCCGAATCGGATCGAAGTCTTTTAATGCATTGAGAGAATTGATTTTCAATAAGAACTACAAATTATTGAAAAACATTAAAAACTCGTATATTTATAACGTAAGAAATAAACCTAAGTAAAACGACTATGATTATCAATAAAAGTAACAAAATATTTATAACCAAGTATGAGATATGCAAGGAGCAATTCCCCACACATCGAATGAATGAGATCAAAACAAATTGTTGTATCATTAGAGTGTAACGAAAAAGGAAGAATTTTACCTTTACCTAAGGCACAACTGGAACAAAAATTTTGTACATCTTTTTCGAAACATGAATTTTATTAAGAAGTAAACCGAATTGATCATAGATAACAATCTTATCGAATTAGGATGTCCTAAACGACGATGCCACAAGGCATATAGTTCTTGTTTATTAGAAGCAGTACACAATAGATGAAAAGGCAAAAGTAGAACAAGAAGGTATGGGTGAATATTCGGGCCGCAATCGGAGGTTGAAAAGATGACCTTTTTTATGTCCCTTCCCGATGAGCTTCTTAGTTCCCGCATCTCGTATAACACAACCAAAAGGAGAGAAAAGAACTATCCAATTATTTTCAACAAGTTGACCAATAGAAAGTAAATTTTCAGTCAAATCAGGAATAAGGTAGACATCATTAGACGTAAGAGAATCGAAGTCCTTGAATGGTTCCTATGCCGTAAATATAAAGATTTTGACCACCGACAGTGCAAATTTGGTTAGGACCATGATAAGAATTAATGTTTTTCAAGTTTTGAGATGCCCAAGTCATGTGATTTGATGCACCAAAGTCTAAATACCAAAGAAAAGGAGATTTTTACCTGAGAACCCCATGGCGAAAAAGCAGATTGGATCATTTGATGTACTAGTTCAAGAGTGAGAGAGGAAGAAACGTAACCTATATCGACAGAGGCTACGGATGGAGGAGGAACCGTATGCTGCTATGGAGGAGAGACATGCGCATGGTATGCTTTGGGACGATTCCGAGGACGTCGAGAACATTCCCAAATATGGTGTCCTGGCTTCTTGCAATAGTTACATACCTTGTTTTAACATTGACTAGCATAGTGGCCATATTCTCTACATGAATAGCATTGGATCTTGCTAATATCACGAGGCTTTGCTCTGCCTTGAGTTGAAAATGCCACTTCAATGGGATTAGAGACTTGTGGGGTGGCATAAGTTGCATAGGCCATATCAAAATGGCCAAGAACCTTTTGCTACTCCATTTGAGTCAATGACTTTAGGCGTTGCTCCTCACGAAGAAGTTCTTTAAAACACATGTCAAGAGTCGGTGTAGGATGTCTACCCATCAACATAACACGAATAGGTTCAAACTCATTCCTCAAGTTCATGAGAAATTGATTGACGTTTTGATGTCTCATGAAGTTTTTGCATTGTAGAAAGAGCATTTGAAGGAACAATAGTATATATAAGAGATGCATATTCAAGCCATAATGCCACAAAACCGTAATAGTAATCTTGAATAGATTTATCGCCTTGGGTATAATCCCGTAAATCTTTTTCAAGTTAAAACTCTCGAGCTGCATCTTCTTGGTGATAAACTGTTTTTAAATGATTCCACATCTCACATGCAATCGTATAAAGGCATAAAGTCAAGGCAATATGGGGTGCCATTGAACCCAAATTCCAACTGATGACTCGAGCATTGTTTGACACCCATTTAGCCTTCTCTTTAGGATTAGTGAGGGTTTTATCGTACCACTAATAAAACCCCATAGTTTTTAGCCTCCTCTTTAGGATTAGTGAGGGTTTTATCAGTACCACTAATAAAACCCCATAGTTTTTTTCCTTGAATAAAATTTTGAAGATTAAATTCCCAAAGAAAATAATTTTGACCATCAAAATGTATCGGGATAAATTCTTTATGGTCCGACATATCAAGAGGGAAGAAGGATCCACCAAACAATAAGAACAAGTAAAAAGAAATCAACTATAAAGATAACCACAAAGGAAACAATCAACACCAAACCAGCATTTCACACGAAATCAATTCCCACCCCCAAGTTAATTCACACGAAATCAAGAAAAAAATGCAAAAGCTCACCAAAGATTTCACGAAAAAAATATTTCAAAGAAGAAATATCATGGCTCGATACCATGTCAATTATAAAGAAAATAGAGAGAATATGAACTCAAAACTTGTTCTCGATCTTGTTCCAGATAGTCTCCTTATATACATAAAGTTAAGTCTATGGAAAAGAAAGTTACTAAATTACGTAACCTAATTTACTCCATAAATAATAGCAATTAGCATACTAATTTATAGCTAATATGATTTACGATATAGGCTCTAATAGTTGTCATCATAATTAATATGAGTTGTCTAATACAATAGATTGTGGTACCTCAACTAAACTAGTGCAATTTTTAAGTATTAGCCTCTCTAAATTTGGAAAGTCCTAAGAAGTTTGGCATTTTAATGAGTTCCTTGCAATAGCCGAGGTTGAGGATTTTTAGCTTGTTGAGGATTTGGCAAAGCATTAAATAAGCAAAAGAACTTAAACAAAGCTAGTAAAACGTAATGCGTAAATTTTATTTTTTGGAAATGCATTTCACATACCTTGGTCTCCTTCTAGAGTTTTATGATGTTGCTGTACTGCATGTCAAGAATAACAAGGTTGCCCATTTCAAAATCGGATGGCAAGGATTTCAAAGGGCATCCATGCCAACACAACCATACCAACCCTTTGGGAAGAGGTTTGAAACATCCAATGAGATATAAACCATTAATCTTGAGTAGTTGTAAATGTTTCATCTTTGCAAATGATTCTGTGCTCAAATGTTCCATTTTTGATGATGTCACATCCAGTGCAAGACCCTCTACAGCTTTTGTTCCCTAAAAAACACCAAAATTCAATAGAACTCTTATATGATTGCTTGGAAATAGATTTATATGAAGGCTTTTCTTTAAAGATCAATAGAGTTTTCGAAAAAAAAAAAAAAGAAGAGATACCACTGGCTGTGATTTTGCATAGAACATTATGAATAAGGATTTAGTTCTTACCATCTGCTTGAAGAGGACAATCCATGCATCTTCATAATGCCAAATTCAATTGCGTCTTCCAGGATCGTCAGTAGATATTTTACGGATATTCTCTCTTCCCATGTCGTAATAAATCATGCATTTTTATCTCACCCCGACGATTTACTTTTATTAAAGACCTTTCGATGAGAGTTCCCAAATCATCTTCTGGATTGAAATCACAACGGGCTTGAAGAACTTTTGCTACAAACTCTTTCTTGCTACCAATAAAAAAACATGCAATGGGTCGAAACTTATTCTAAGCTTTTCCTTATTAAAGAACCATCTCACCTAAAAGCTTAAGTCGATAGGTGAGGTCCTAGAATATAATTTATACTAGTCTCTAACACACCCCCTCAAGTGAAAGGCCCAACATTTGGGGCATGAAACTTGCACGAGTCTACATTACCTTGTGCTTAATATTTGAGAAATTGGGGATGATGAGACTTGAACTCGAGACCACATGGTCAACCAAGCTCGATACCATATTAAAGGACCATCTCACCTAAAAGCTTAAGCTGATAGGTGAGGTCCTAGAATATAATTTATACTAGTCTCTAACATTCCCGAATATAAAAGTTTGGAATTTTTCTCAATTTCTCAATGACACATTTCCATCTAGCTTTGTTTTTTCTCAAACAAACAAGAACCTAAAACTTCAAGAGCTAAAGGAAGTCCTCCACAGTAGTCAATAACATCACATGCAAGCTCCGCATAATCCTCCACTAGAAGTTTGTCCCTAAAGGCATGCCGACTGAAAAGCTGAAGTGACTCATCTCGTTTCAACTGTTTGACCCCATATTTTTTGTCCACTTTAAGCAGCAAACGTTCATTTCTAGTGGTAATGATTATTCTACTTCCAGAACCATACCAACTTCGCTCTCGTATCAATACATTTAGTTGTTTTAATTGATCCACATCATCAAGAACAACAACTCTTTTGTGACAAAGTCTTTCTTGGATGACATTCATTCCTCTATCAACGTTATTGATATTCCAAATCTGTAGCTTCAAAATATTGCCAAGAAGTTGTTCTTGTAATAAAACAAGACCATTAGGTTGCTCTAATGTTTCTGTGACATTTGAAAGAAAACAGCTTCCCTCAAATCCATAACAAGGTTGGTTAAATACAACTTTTGCTATGTTTGTCTTTCCTATTCGTGCCATCCCATGTATGCCAATCATGCGAACGTCATCTGTTGTTGTACTTAGAAAGTTGCTAATATCACGGACAATGGAATGGATGCCTACTAGGTGTGGAGCAACATCTACGTACTTGGGATCCAATTTATTCAACACATCTTCGATAATCTTCTGGATGCATTTTGATTCATGTCTGTTCATGGATAAAAAAAGTCATCATTGACGAGATAATAAGTGAACATTGCTCAAAGAGATTTGTTACTGTTCAATATTGTAATTCAAATCTAACTTGCAGCATAAATTCACAAGCCTTGGATTGATGACTTCATAGTGATGCCTACAAGTGAACTATAAAAAGAAAAAGCATACCCATTTGCCATATCATTGAGATCCCATCCAGATAGATTTCCGACCTCCTCAAGAGCTTTTCTCCACTCCTTTGCCTTCTCTGTAAATTGTTCTTCGTGTTTATCAAATGCTTTTGCAAAACTGCCTGTCTGTTTTCGAACATTTGAAGGATCAATGTCATAAAATATCGGAAGAACAATTTTATTAATATTGCTATTTTTGCACTCAAGAATCTCTACAAGTTCGTTAAGACTCCATCTAGAAGAAGCATAGCCTTTTGAGAAGACAACTATTGATATCTTTGATTCTTGAATTGCCTTGAGGAGATGTTTGGAGATTTCTTCTCCTCTAGGAAGTTCGTTATCATCTCGAAAAGTGTGAATTCCTGCTTGAACAAAGGAATTATATAGATGATCTGTAAAATTCTTGCGAGTATCTTATCCTCTAAAACTCAGAAAGACATCATAGGCCCCTTTTGGTCTAGATCGAGAAGATCCTTGCTCTGTCATGGTAGCTACAGAAAATAAGGCACTATTAATTAGAATGCAGCAATTGGAGAAGGGATGCATGTCAAGTGATCCTCAAGACAATACATATGAGTGTGCTAAGTAGTAATTTCACAGAAACAAATGGATGGATAACTTTTGTTACTTTCACATCTATGAGTCAGTCAATGGAATTCTTCATTTCTAATCTTTGTTCAGTAGTCTCCTATAAAGTCGAGGGCTAACCATAAGTCAATGCGAACCATTTAATTTTGACTTCAAGAACTCGAGCCCTGCAAAATGGATTGTGAGGAAGTTCATTATCATCCTGAAATGGATGAATTCCTACTTCGACTAAGGCTATATAAAGATTATTTTTAAAATTCTTACGATTATCATCCCAAAATGTATGAATTCCTATTCTCAAAAGGACATTATAAGCATATCCAAGTCTAGATGAAACAGAAGATGACTCGGACTCAAAGAACATGGCAGCTATAGAAGGCCCCATTGAGCAAAATTAAGGAGTTGAATATATATATATATATATATATATATATGTAGATTATAGTGTAAAGAAAGGACTGAAGGTTCAAGGTTGTCGATTAATATAGCGTACTCTACAGTGGATCATGGAAAGTAAGACACAATTCAATCCTTGCTTCCCTCTTGTACTTTAATTTCCCAGAAGCCAAACAGAAAAATATATATGTCAAGATCCAATTTTAACAAAAAATGATGTACTCATCAAATAAATGATGACGGAAATTTATTACAAAAGTTGAATTCTGATGGTCAAAGAAACATGTGTGTCAATGAACTTGCAACATATATATATATATATATATATATATATAAGAAATTAACTGTGATTGGTAAATTTAACAATAATTTTGTACTGAAAGAGATGGAAGGAAATTAAGTGAATGACCTCAACATGAAGATAAAAGCTTTGACAAGTGTTTTTTAGCAATGTTTAATTATGTAATCAGTAGCAACAATTGCAAACTTACCTGTATATGGTAATTATGAGTTGGTGGGAAGATCAAATTGCAGCAATCGGAAAAGTTAGCTGTAGAGTAAAGTGAGGGGCGAAGGTTAGTGAAGATTATATTGTTTCAAAGAAAGGATATGCTTTCTTGCAGTAATTATCAAAAATAAAATTTATCAAAGAAAAAATTGAATATATGTTTCTTTATTAAAGAATTTGAACATGGAAATTGCTGTTCTGTTTTCACTTTAGACTAAAATGTTTTTTTGACAAACCTAAAGAAATGCTCCCAGATTATATAGATAATCTCAATTTTATTACTAAATAAATTTTCAATTGAGAAGTTATTTTATTTTTATTTTATATGAAACTAGCCAAATGCTTGGACTTTGTGCCAGGTTAATTTTTGTTATAGATCTTATAAGAAATTTGATTATAAAAAAAAAAAAAAAGAAGAAAACTTTAGAACAAAAAGCAACTAAAGTTGTCAGAAAAGTTAATACTGAATCGAGAAGTGAATACTAATTAAAGGATTTTTTCATTATTATTAATATTATAGGGATTAATTAAGTAATTATGATAAACAATATGGACTGAATTATAATTAACTTCTCTTTGACATTTTCTTTAAGCTGAGTTTTATTTTATTTAAAAACAATTGCGTAAAGATATGGCATTTGAAATATGCGTACACTGACATGCAAATGCAAAGAGAGAGAGAAGAGAAACGGATCAAATAAGTTTGCGATAGACTGACTTTTGATGGAAGGAAGCGAAAGTCTATGATATTTGCTCGGAAGGAGCGGAGAGTTGATATTACCTGAGAACAACGTCTTTTTAGGACAAACTAAATTTTATATGTATACTATAGTTTGACGTCATGCATGACGTTTGCTACTCAAGTTTCGTCATAGTCATCAAACCAATCTGAAGCTGCTAGACATGCTGTGCTGGTGTAGATATTCTGAATATGAGGTTTCTTTGGAATTTCGGAAAAGACTTGACGATAGTCATCTTCTCCGACGAGCTAGTATTCTGTGAAGTCTGAATCTGAATGAAACCTTTCCATGGATCTTGCCTTGTATAAAATGAAATTCTTTCTGCTAAACCTTTCTCTGACCATTAACATGAAATTCTTTCTGCTAAACCTAGAACTCCTACTGTAATTATTCCTAAATGAATGAGCTTAAAGTTTCTTTTTAAGATTATCATGGGTCTTATCGTCTAGTAACTGAAGGTCTGCTACGTCGTCTTCTATTATTACACTTACTACATTTTCTGATATTGTTCCAATTAAGGAGCTTGAACTTTCTAATAATCCTAATTTATATAACTGCTTAGGCTGAATAAGCTTTAACTTATCATCTCTTAGGTTCCTAATCTGTTCATCCGCATCTATAGTTTCTATTGCACATATTATGTGACTAAGTACTAATCTCCTATTAGCATATTCTTCTAGATCTAAATAAGCTGCTGGAATATCCCTTGTATGTGTTTCTATTGCAGCAAGTTCATCTCCTATTTTATTTGCTAAATATCTAAGTTCTAAACTGTTTCTAAAATTCATTCTATTTATTCGATTCATAAGTTCATTTATATTATTTCCCATGTCTATTGTCTTTGTCTGATTATATTTCTTAAAGTAGAAGCTATGCTTTCATATACTGAAGATCTATTAAATAACTCATCCACAACCTATTGGGTTTCCCTTCTAGTTGGAAGATGATCCAAAAGTTTACCTATATGAGCCTAAATCTTGGAGCCCATGTGGAGAAGCAATTTTTAATCACTTAAAAGATAATTTTGGTATTTGCAAATAAACTCTCTCTTATCTTTTATTTTGAAATCAGATTAGGGAAGAAAGTAAGAGAGAAAAAGAAAAGAAAAGGAGTGAGAGCCGCAACTTTAGAGAGAAAAGAGGGAAGAAAGTTTTAAGCACAAACTAGTGACGTTAAAATTGATTTTTTGGGTTCGTTAACCGTTGGATCAAGCTCAAATTTGATGAAAAAATTTAGGAGAGAAAGATGCACATTATGAACGATGAAGATCTGGTTTAGTGTTCTAGAAAGTGAGATATAATGCTCACAATAGTGTTATTTTTTTATGAAATCTAAACTTGGTTTCTTCGTTTTTTTTTTATGTATCATCTATTGATGTAGTTTGCCAATGATGTGTAACCTTTGATGTTTGTGGCTGATTAAGTTTAATCTAGAGAGGACTCTTTGTATTGCTCTATTATCGTTGATCGTGGAAGTTATTGTGGACTCGATCCCGTGGTTTTTCCTTCTCAAATTGTGGAGGTTTTCCACATAAAATTTATGTGTTCCTTATGTGATTGGTATTTTATTTTTTAGATTATTAGTTACTTGTTTTGGCTTGGGTATTTGGTTATAGCCTCGTGTTTAATTGTTCAAGCAAGCGAGATGTTTGTGTTTTATTTATGTTTCTTTTCCTAACAAGTAGTATCAAAACTTGGTTGCTTATTTTTAGCTTGAATAATATGGAGAGGTATTAAAATAATAAGTCCGAATGGAACCAATTATCATATGTGGAAGAGAAAAATGAAAAATCTCTTATATGTAAAGAGTTGGCATCTATCCGTATTTACTTTGGATAATCTTAAGATAAAAACGAGATGAGGATTGGAAGTTTGAGAATAAACAAGTTTGTGTTTTTATTTGTTAGTACATTAATGATAATTTTTTAAATCATGTTGCAAAAGAGGTGATGCTAAAACTTTGTGAAAAAATTTGGAAGATCTTTTTACAAAAATAAATAAATAAATAAATAAATAATAAAAAATAAAAAATAAGGAATAACAAGATGTATTTGATTAAGCAAATGGATGAATTACAGGTATAAGGAGAGAATTTCGATAACCGATAACATTAATGAGTATGTGGGAATTGTTTAGCAAACGAAAGCCATGAACATAGAAATTGATGATGAGGTCCTTGGGTTGTATTTGCTTGGCTCATTATCGAATTCTTAGGAGACATTCCATACATCACACTATAATTTTGCTCCCGATGGGAAGATGACCTTGACCTATGCTAGAAATGGGGTTCTTAATGAAGAGGTTAGAAGGAAGGCTCAAAATTCTTCTTCTCGGTATGATGTGCTAGTTACCGTAGAATGGGAAAGAGTAAAAGTAAAGGTCCAAAAGATGAAGGCAACAAGTAGAAGTAAGTCCAAGGGTAAGTTTGCAAATGGAGTGCTATTATTATGGTGATATGGGTCACATCAAGAAATATTGTCGAAAATTAAAAAAGATAGTAAGAAGAATGAAACCAAGCGGAATGACGAGTGATGTCGATGAAGATCGAGCTAATGTAACCGATGAGTTCCCGATTGCATATGATATTGATGACGTTAACATAGCATCGGATGAGCATAGTTGGGTGGTTGACCATGGAGCTTCGGTACATGCTACATCTCATAGGGAGTTTTTAGCTCATACACGATTGATGATTTTGGGGCGGTAAGGGTTGAAAATAATGGGTTGTCCAAAATTGCTAGTATTGGAGATATGTGTTTAAAGACTCACATTGGAGTAGAACCGATTCTAAAAAATATGAAGCATGTTCCCGACATTTCATTTGAATTTAATCTCGGTTGGAAGGCTTGATGATGAAGGTTTCTATAAACATTCAAAAATGATATGTGGAAGTTATCCAAGGGTTCTATGGTAGTGGCAAAATGATATGTCATGCATGCTAAATTATTGAATGATGATCCGAATGTTGTTAGAGGCGAGAAAACTACTAAACTATGGCATAAAAGATTGGCTCATATGATTGAAAAAGGCATAGTAATGTTGAAAAAGCAAAATTTATTATCCGATATGTAGGATAATCACTTGAACAAGTGTTTGCATTGCTTGACTAAAAAATAGAACATAGTTTCATTTAGGAGTCTTCCACCTACGAAGAAGCAAAATCCCCTCGAGCTAGTACATTCGGATGTGTGTGGTTCTATGACGATAATGTCAAAAAATAGTTCATGTTACTTTGTGACATTTATAGATGATTGTCTGAAGAAAGGTATGGTTTTATACATTGAGATCAAAAGATCAAGTTCTTGGTTTTTTTAAGCGAGTTTTAGGCTTTTGTAGAAAGACAAACAAGGAGGAAGTTAAGTTTATCCGAACCGAAAATGATGGTGAATATTCAGGCCCTTTTGATGAGTGTTACGGGACTCAAGGCATTAAGCATCAAAAAACTCCACCAAAGATACCTTAGTTGAACAGGTTGATTGAAAGGATGAATAGGACTCTAGTTAAGAGAGTTAAATGCTTACTTTATTGCCTAAGTCATTTTAGGATAAGGCATTAAATACTATTGTTTATTTAATAAATCATTCACCTCATGTGCTTTTGTTATTTGATGTTCCAAATAGGGTTTGGAGTAGCAAAGATGTATCCTATGATAACTTAAATTTTTTTAGGTGCAAGATGTTCTTGCACGTTCATAAAAATGAGAGATCTAAGCTTGATGTGAAGACAAAATAGTGTATTTTCTTAGGTATGGTCAAGATAAGTTTATCTACAAACTGTATGATCTAGTTGAAAAGAAGATAGTCGAAGTTGTGATGTTGCCTAAGTCATTTTGGGGTGGGGCATTAAATAATGTTATTTATTTAATCTTTCACTTTGTGTGCTTTTTTCATTTGATGTTCCAAACGGGGTTCGAAGTGGCAAAGATGTATCCTATAATCATTTAAAAATTTTTGGGTGCATGACATTCGTGCACGTTCCTAAAAATAAGAGATCTAAACTTGATGTGAAGATAAGACAATGTATTTTCTTAGGATATGGTCAAGATGAGTTTGGCTTCAAGTTGTGTGATCCGAGTTGAAAAGAAGATAGTCAGAAGTTATGATGTTGTATTTCTAGAGGATCAAACTATACAAGATATTGAGAAGACAGAGTAGACAATGGATCGAGTCTTATGATGATCCGATAGATATAGAGCTAGTTGAGCCTATTTATTTTACACTAGTAGCTGAGCTAGTTGAATATGATGTGCAAGATGATTCACAAATTGAGCAGGGAGCACATAATGGTAATGATTTGCAAGACAATAATTAGATTCATGAAGATGCATCGAGTGATAACCAGGATCGGATAGTTGAGCAAGGTGATGAACATGTTCCATCGAAACTTCACTCGGACGATCTAACAAGTATCAAAAACCTTCTATTAGGTAGTCTACTTGTGAGTATGTGTTGTTAACCGACAGTGAAGAATCTGAATCCTACGAAGAAGTAATGAAAGATGAGAATAAAGAGAAGTGGATTGAAGCCATGAATGATGAGATGAAGTCTTTACATGAGAACAATACCTTTGAATTGGTAAGGCTACCTAATGGTAGAACATCTTTGAAAAGCAAGTAGATGTTTAGAATCAAGCATGAAGAACATGCCACACATCCTTAATTTAAAGCAAGATTAGTGGTGAATGATTTTAGTCAGAAAAATGGTGTTGATTTTGAGGAGATATTTTGTGCAATGGTGAAGATGTCATCTACTCGAGTTGTTTTGAGCCTAACAGCAAGTCTTGACTTGGAATTTGAATAAATGGATGTCAAGATAGCCTTTTTACACGGTGACTTAGAAGAAGAA